CTTCTTTAGCTTTTCTTATTTGGGCATTAACTACTTATCCTGTTTGGGTATGGTGACTCACACCCTTCATTCCAGTGCTTTAGGAGGCCAAGGTGGGAGGATCACTTGAGTCCAGGAGTTTAAGACCAGCCCAGACAACATAGCGAGACCTCCGTTTCTCCAAAAAAAAATTTTAAGTTAACCAGGTATAGTGGCATATGCGTGTAGTCACAGCCACTTAGTAGGCTGAGGCAGGAGGATCACTTCAGCCCAGGAGTTTGAGGCTACAGAGTGACACTCTTGTCACTTAGAAGGAAAACAAAGTGTCTAGTCTATGCAGGTACTTAAGTTCCTTGTGATTGTTCCAGTTATAATAATGAAGAGGATAGGCCAGGCTATTGTGAGGTCTTAGTGCCAACAACACTTAAATCTTATGAATCTAGTTTTTTACTGAGATGGCTACTTTCTCAAGAAGAAAAACTGTTACCACAAAGCTTGTTTTAAAAAATAAAGGAAGGGTGGGTTTGGTGGCTCATGCCTGTAATCCCAGCACTTTGGGAGGTGGAGGCTAGAGGACTGCCTTTGCCCATGGGTTCAAGAGTAGCCTGGACAGCATGCGAGACTTTGTCTCTACAATAAATCAAAAAATTAGCCAGACATGGTGGTGCACGCTTATAATTCTAGCTACATGGAAGGTTGAAGCAGAAGAATCGCCGGAGTCCAGCAGGTCAAGGCTGTGGTGGAATGCACCTGTAGTCCCAGACACTAAGGAGGCTGAGGCAGAAGGATCGCCTGAGCCCAGCAAATTGAGGCTGCAGTAGCCATAATCATGCCACTGCATGCCAACCTGGGCAACAGGGTAAGATTCAGACTCAAAAAATAAAAAAATAAAATAAAATAAAAAAGTTTATGAGCACTGGTTCATGCATGACAATGACTTTAGTGTGAAAGAACTGGAATGAAACCTCACCTGATGCACATTGAAACTTGCTACTTGAGAACGCTGATGCTTAAGTTCTGCCTGCCTGTCATTGGAGGAACACAAAGCTCATGAGAAAATGAATGTGGATGATTAAAAGGTGTAAGCCTGAGGTAAGTGGATTGCCTAAGCCTGCGGGTTCGAGATCCACCTGGGCAGCTTGGTGAGACCTTATCTCTATAATAGATCAAAATGAGCCAGGCGTGGTAGCACGCACCTGTAGTTGCGGCTACTTAGAGGGCTGAGGCGGAAGGATCGCTGGAGCCCAGCAGGTCGAGGCTGCGGTGGCCGAGAGCGGCCACTGCACTCCAGTCTGGGTGACAGAGTGAGACTTCAACTCCAAAAAAAAAAAAAGGTGTAAGCCACAACGATCTAATGGTTCTTCAGTTTCAGCTTCTCCTTTTGCCATATGCATGTGAACATGACTGTGTTTGCCATTGGGCATCAGATACCACCGCGGTGCTGGGACTTTCGTGGCCTGGGCAGCTTTTCTGGGGCTACTTCCTTTAAGTGCCTCTGATGCTGTGTTGCGTTTGGGAGGGAGCCATACTGCATTGTTCAGCCTGGAGCAGGGGACAGTATTTATTTTTTATTTTACGTTATTTCAGCTGTTTTCACTTTTTTCTTTATTGTTTTCTTGCCTCCTACAGAGTCCCTTTTCAAGCCTTGCTGGGGGAAGGGGAACACTCGGCTGTGAACCCAAGCACACACGGGGAGGAAAACGGCCCTTTCCTTTCACAGCAGTTCACATAGCTCTTAGCCACGTCGACTTAACCCACTGTGGGTCTGAACCCACATCAGATCTGATTGGGAGCAATGTCTTTTTTTTTTTGAGTCAAGGTGTCACTCTGTTGCCCAGGCTGGTGTGCAGTGGCATGATTATGGCTATCGCAGCCTCAGTTTGCTGGGCTCAGGCGATCCTGCTGCCTCAGCCTCCCAAGTGGATGGGACTACAGGCGCGCTCCACCATGCCGGCTAATCCTTTTATTTTTTGTAGCGACGAGGTCTTGCTATGTGTCCAGGTTGGTCTCAAACCCCTGGGCTCAAGCAGTCCTCTCACCTCAGCCTCCCAAAGTGCTGAAATTACAAGCTTGAACCACTGCACCTGGCTGGGAGCGGTTTCTTGCCTCCGCCTCCCAAAGTGCTGGGATTACAAGCATAAGCCACTGTGCGCAGCTTTTAATTTTTATTTTAAAGATGTGGAGTACTAATCAGAGTTAGGTAGATAAGTGGTTATCGTAAAGGTAAAGTTTGGGCTTCCCTTTGGTCCCCACGTAGCCTGGTTTGAGATTGGATACTCTTATTTGTGTTATGTGCCCGACTCCCTCCCCAGACAGCGTCCCACTACTGCCAATCCCTTTCTTGTAGTATTATGAAAAATGTTCAGGATCCGCTTGTGAGTAAGTACCTGTAGTACTTAGTTCTTTGTTTCTGTAATAGATTGCTGAGTATTATAGACTCTAAATCCCTCCAAGTTGTTGCAAAGTCCATAATTTTGTTTTCCTTATGGCTGCATAGTATTCCATCGTGTATATGTACCATATTTTCTTTATCCAGTTCACTTTTTTTTTTTTTTTTTTGAGTCGGAGTCTCACTCTGTTGCCCAGGCCTGGAGTGCAGTGGCACACGCACAGCCACCGCAGCCGCAACCTGCTGGGGTCAGGCGATCCTTCCTTCTGCCTCAGCCTTCCAAGTAGCTGGAACCACAGGCAAGCACCACCACCTACCCTTGCTGATTTTTTTATTTATTGTAGAGATGAGATCTCAAGTTGCCCAGGTTGGTCTTGAACCCCTGGACTCAGGCAATTCTCTCACCTCTGCCTCCCAAAGTGCTGGGATTACAGGCGTGAACCACTGCATCCTGCATCCAGTACACTTTCTATGGACAGCATGGTTGGTTCCATGTTTTTGCTATTGTGAATAGTGCTGTAATAAACATGTGTGCATAGGCATCTTTTTAAAGAGTGGTTTGAGTTCCTCCAGATATATTCCCAGAAGAACTATTGCTGAGTCAAATGGGGGGTCAATTTTTAGGTCTTTTATAAAACACCACACTGTTTTCCACAGAGATTGTACTAGTTTACATTCCCACCAACAGTGTAGAAGTGCTCCCTTTTCTCTGCATCCTCTCCAGCATCTGTTGCTTTTTGAGTTATTGATGAGGGCCATCCTGACTAGAGTTAGGTGGTATCTCAGTGTGTTTTTTGTTTGTTTGTTTGTTTGTTTTGAGTTGGAGTCTCACTCTGTCGCCCAGAGTGGAGTGCAGTGGCTGCTCCCAGCCACCGCAGCCTCGACCTGCTGGGCTCCGGCGATCCTTCCACCTCAGCCTTCCAAGTAGCTGGAATTACAGGCGTGCGCTACCACACCCGGCTGATTTTTTGATTTATTGTAGAGATGAGGTCTCGCTGCCCAGGTGGGTCTCGAACCCACGGGCTCAGGCAATCCACTCACCTCAGCCTCCCAAAGGCGCGGGATTACAGGCTGAGCCACCAAGTCCAGCTCAGTGTGGTTTTAATTTGTTTTTCTTTGATGACTGGTCAGGCTGAGCATTTTTCATGTATCTGTTGGCTGCTCATATGTCTTCTTCTGAGAAGTTTCTATTCATGTCTTTTGCCCGCTTTTTAAAAGGGTTGTTTGTTCTTTTCCTTTCAGCATGTTTGAGTTCCTTGTAGATCCTGGATATTAAGCCTTTGTCAGAAATACAGTTGTCATTTTTTTCCCATTCTGTGGGCTGTCCCCCTGGTCTCTTGATGGTTTCTTTATAAATTGGTGTTTGAGGAAGCATGTGGTTCTATATTTTAACAACTGATAGTTTTCTGACTTAAAGATTATATTTAAAATAATTCTATCACGTTTCAGAATTTTTATTTCTGGTCTTCCACTGTATGAATTTCAGAGTATCTTTTTATCGCTTAAATCAGTCAAGGAAACAACAGACGATGTTGATATGCCAACACCCTGATGTTATTGGTACTATGGTCATTATACTATCTATCTAGGGAAAGTATTTGGGGGTAGATACATTTATGTATGATGGGGGACTCCAAAAAACTGGAATTATCTTCTGCATCGTGAGCCCCTTGTAGTACAGGCTTCTCTCGCTAGGTAAGTGTGTTCTAGGAACCCATCAGCATCAGTGTATCAGCTAGTGTTGTTGTGAGAGACTGTATTTTAGCTTCAGTGAATTTTTCTTGTGGCAAACAGGTGACTGGTTCTTCCATCATGACAATGCACCTGCCCACAATGCTAAGTGTTCAGTAGTTTTTGACCAAAAACAGCGTGACTCCAATGCCTAACCCTCCCTATTTACCCAATCTCTCCCCGAGCAACTTTTTTGTCCCTCTGGATGAAAAAAGTCAGCCAGGCTCGGTGGCTCAGCCTGTAATCCCACGCTTTGGGTGGCTGAGGTGAGTGGATTGCCTGAGCCCGCGGGTTCGAGACCCGCCTGGGCAACTTGGCGAGACCTCATCTCTACAATAAATCAAAAATTAGCAGGGCATGGTAGCGCACACCTGTAGTTCCAGCTACTGGGAAGGCTGAGGCGCAAGGATCGCCGGAGCCCAGCAGGTCGAGGCTGTGGTGGCCGGGAGCAACCACTGCACTCCAGTCTGGGCGACAGAGTGAGACTCCAACAAAAAGTAGCAGAAACACTAAAAGGCATCAAAGTTGGTGAGTTCAGAAACTGTTTTGAGCAGTGAAAAAAGCATCTCAGTAGTTGTATTGCATCAAATGGAGAGTACTTAGAAGATTACTGAAGTTTAAACATGTAAGAATAAGTTCACAATTTTTTTTATAAATAAATTTCAATTTGGGGGTCCCCCCTTCATATACCAGACTCTCTCTCCTTGTTAAAATGCCTCGTTCTATACATAGATGAATATTTTTTAGTCATTAATAAGAGAGCAGCTCTGTACTCTCAGAATTAGTGAGTACATTAGTATAATAACTACTTGAAACAGATAGGAAAGATTCATCATGCATAATTAAAGATGACTTGGAAAAGGACAGGAGTGTTTAAGTATCCTTCTCATTGATTTCACAGGATTACCTTGACTGCATCAGGGACCAAACAAAACTTCCCCTGGGGACTGAAGAAAGATCAGCCCTTTTTGGAAATATACAGGATATCTACCACTTCAATAGGTAAGTTAATATTCAGAAGATTGTTTTCACATAGGAACATTATTAAAGTCTCTCAAAAAGCCAGGTGAGGTGACTCACACCTATAATCCCAGCATTTTAGGAGGTGGAGGTAAGAGGATTGCCTGAGCCCAAGGGTTCAAGACCAGCCTGGGCAACTTGGTGAGACCTCGTCTCTACAATAAATTAAAAAAAAAAATAGCTGGGCTTGATGGCATGCATCTGTAGTTCCAACTACTTGGTAAGCTGAGGTGGAAGGATCCCCTGAGCCCAGCAGGTCAAGGCTGCAGTAGCCATGAGTGTGCCACTGCACTCCAGTCTGGACAGCAGAGTGAGACCCCAAACTAAGAAAAAAAAAGTCTCTCAAACAAATGCAGCCTAAGAAAACTTGACCTGTAATCCCTGATTCAGATTCATAAGTTTTTAGGAGCTCTTGTGCCGTGACGTTTTCTACCTAGAAGCATCCTTGTTTTCTTATGAGTCTCACGTTTATTCAATATTCTTTTCCTCTCCATCCTATCTCAGAGAAGAAACTTACTTGTCTTCACAGCAATGACATCTTTCTTTTACAAGATAGGAATAAGACATCCAAAAATACAATACATGCTAGCTTAGTTTCTGCCATTCTTACCTACCCTGGATTTTCTATCAATTTTCTTCTCCCTGGGAAGGTAGGCTGGGCACAGTACAGTAAACACACAGTAAGCTCTTCAAGTCATAACCTATATTAATTCAATTTAATCCATAATTCAAAATAAGGAATTAAATCAACCATGCACTAAGTTCCTACTATGTAGTGAGCACTAGGCTAGAAGATTACAAGAGTAAACAAGACAGATGAGAAACATGTAAATAAGTTATCATAATATATTGATACTTCCTGAAAGACGTGTTAGTAGGCACCTTAAGAGTACAGATGTTGCTGGATTTGAATCCTAACTAAGTCATGTATGTGTCTTGGGTGAGTCTTTAAACTGAATGAAGGCCACACACAGTAGCTTACAGTAGCCTGTAATCTCAGCACTTTGGGAGTCCCAGTCAGGAGGACTGCTTGAGTCCAGGAGTTTAGGACCAGGCTGGGCAATATAGTGAGACCTCCCCTCTACAAAAATAGTTTAAAAAATTAGCCAGGTGTGGTGGTATACCCCTGTAGTCCCAGCTGCTCAGGAGACTGAGGCAGGAAAATTGCCCGAGCCAGGAGGTCAAGGCTGTGGTGAGAAGTGATTGTGCTACTCCAGCCTGGGTGATCGGGTGAGACTCCAACTCAAAATTAATTAATTAATTAATAAAAAATAAGTAAACTGAATGAGATGACTAACTCCTGCGTGTCAAACCTTTGCTCAAATAGTTATTTCTCACTGAGGCTTCCCCGGGGAACCTCACACACATCTTGCCTCCTCTCTTTTTTCTTTCTTTTTTTTCTCTTTTCTCCGTTTCTTCTTTTTTGGGGGGGTCAGAGTCTGTTAAGACACAATGGTGGCCAAAGAGATATGGACCCCACCCTCAAGGAGCACACACTTACTGATTTTAGTAAACAGAGATGGGTAGGACTGAGCTTGCTCTATAAATGAGTCATAAAACAACGGGACATTGTGAATTTCACTGAAGCACGGTCAAGATCATCTCTGGCTAATATTTTGGTGCTGATACTTGCTGACCTGTTATTATAGGTGTATCAGCTCACTGAAGCTCACAATAACCATAGGAGAAAGAGGAGAAAGACTTTGCTACTATCTCCATTCACTCAACAAAAGTTTAAGTGCCTCCTATAGGCCAGACATGGTTGTAGACACTTGGTGCAGTAACAAAACAGACTCCTGTGCTTGCAGAGTGTTCTGTGAGCAGGGGAACAGTTAAGTGCAGTAGTAGGGAACACATTTTTTTGTCTGTTTGTTTTACTGTAGCAGAGACCCAGTATTCATTACCCTTGGAAATTGAGATCAGAATTAGTTCCTTCACTCCAGCCTGACAGAGTGAGACTCCAAATTAAAAAAAAAAAAAAAAAAAAAAAAGAATTAGATCCTTCAACAAATGTACTTTTCTAATTTCTGGACATACAGTGATGAACAAAGCAAACCAAATCTGGAATGGAGGGAGAAACTCGATATAACAAGTGCTTTAAAGAAAATCAAACAGGGAGCTGGGTGCAGTGGCTCACACCTGTAATCCCAGCACTTTGGGAGGTAGAGGCAAGAGGATTGCCAGAGCCCAGGGACTCGAGAACAACCTGGGAAACTTGGCGAGACCTCATCTCTATAATAAATCAAAAAATTAGCTGGGCATGGTGGCACACACCTGTGGTTCCAGCTACTTGGAAAGCTAAGGTGGAAGGATTTCCTGAGCCCAGCAGGTCAAGGCTGCGGTGGCCATGAGCATGCCACTGCACTCCAGCCTGGGTGACAGGGTGAGACTCAGACTCAAAAAAAAAAAAAAGCAAAAAGAAAATGCCAGTATTACAACAGAATTTTTCTTTCACTGGACTCAGTAGATTTTGAAGGACAGATGGTATGTTCTGAGTCAGTGTTTCTCAATCTAGGCTACACACTGGAACCACCTGGGAAGTGTTTTCCAAAAAAAACACAACAAAAGCTGATGGCTGTATCCTACCTCCAGAAATTCTGATTCATTGGTCTTAGGTGGAATTAGGGCATCAGAATGTTTCTAAAGGTCCTCAGGTATTTATAATGTGCAGCCATGGTTGAGAAACACAGTCGAGGTAAAATAATAAGAAAATAGAGAACAGGTATAAAAACAGAATTGGGGAATCCAGAGACCACATGTTCATGAGTCATATGTCGCTGTTAAAGGTGGTCTCCATTTAGCAGTCCTCATGATAAAATTCTATGAGCCCCTGCACGGCTTCTCCTTCCAGAGCCCACAGATGGCCCTGTAACCCAGAAAGAGGCAAGAGAGCAAGGCTCCTGGCCTAGGTCTTCTGTGGTTTGACTGTGAGCGGTGGTAATGCATGTTTGTAGAGTGCTGACATCATGCCAGAGGCCACAGGGCTTTTGGTGCATTATCACCTTAGATGCATCATCTGAGCCTCTCTGACCCCAAATCTCAGGCATTTGGCTATGCGCCCTCCCACCACAGGAGAGCCCTGCTTTTCAGACCATGGTTCATGAAATTGTAGTTTATTCCAGGTGGGGCTCATAACTCTCTAGAGTTTATATCTTCATGTGTCTCCTAATTTAAAGGAAGATATGGGCCAGCTAGCAAGAAGAGACCTTGGCAGTGGAGCCCAGTCTGCATAAGCTGGATGACTGAGAAGACCTTTATATTCCTGAACTGAATCTGTGCTTTTTTTATTTGCTGTTCGTTGAACCTGGAAGTCAGACATGTTTAAAATAACCTGAGTCAGGGAAGAATAAGAGGTCAAGTGATTCAGGGACAATAGTAGCCTGCACCCCAACCATACGTGGCCCCTGAGAGTAATTTCTTTGGCCTAGCCGCCATGGAGAACTATGGGGATGACTAGGACAGACCAGGCTCCATTTTACTAGGCCTATGATTCAAATGACTATGGGGACCCGGCCCCTTGACCTCATGGTAGATACCAGGGCAGAGCATTCTGTGGTAACCCAACTGGTGGGCCCTCTGCCACCAAGACAGGCCACTATCGTGGGGGCCACTGGTGGCCAGGCTCGTCGCCCTTTTCTACAGCCCTGACGATGCAATCTAGAGGGCCATGAAGTTGTCCAATACCTTCTAGATTGCCCAGTGGCTTTAATGGGTCGGGACCTCTTGGGAAAACTGCAAGCCCAACTAACCTTTCACTCTGACAACCAGGCCACCTTAGTCTTAAATCCTGAAGTGAAAACCATGACTCTTACAGTCCCCCAGGAGTAAAAAAAATTAATTAATTAAATAACCTGAGTAAGGGTGATGAGTATCCTGACGATGAAATCAGAGGCTTCAATGTCATGACACAATTACAAGAGATTATGTCCATGCCTGTTCCTTGTGTAGGTCATATCTGCATATTCCCTGCATATGCATCATCTCTCTTAATTCTCTTAACAGCTCCAGGAAGCAAATAGGATGCACTATTGTATATACATTTTATAGACAAGAAATCAGTCTCACAGTATAGAAAGTCCTTTCCTCAAAGACCTTGAGCTGGAAATTCAGTCTGGTTGAATTCCCAGTTTTGTTAAATTTCTACTGCAGTTCACTGTTTTCAAGAATGTGTTCTTGTTCAACTTTTACAGTTAAATTGTCTATACTGTTTTCTCCCTGTTCATTTTTATTTTCTTTCTTTTAAACCTAGAGTCTAAATTTAGAGCTCAGATGTCTTTGTTATTATTATATTTGGTTAAATAAGTGTTTTGATATGACTTTGTTAAAGCTGCTTATGAATCCTTTATACTTTAGATCAATTGATTTCAAGGGTACAACTATCTGGCAAATATATGGTTGAGGCTTGAAATAATTTTTGAAGTTTCTATGATTAGTTCAGGTTTGGATTTCTCAATTCTTTATGTAATATAATAATATTGTGGCCAACCAGGCAAGACTTAAATATCTAAAATTAAAAAGGGCAGAAAGAAATGGTTTTATGCTAGCCTGAGAAATTCAGCTGACTAGATTTCTCTTTTCAGAAAAGATTTCCAAAATATAGAAAAGCATAGAATAATTTGATAAACTCCCATGAGCCAACCTCAACTATGTCATAACCTTTCTTTGTGTCATATTTGTTTTAAATTTGAGTGACTGAGCGCAGTGGCTCTCAGCACTTTGGGAGACTGAAGCGGGAAGATTGCTTAAGCCCAGGAGTTCGAGACCAGGCAACATAGTGAGACCTCTTCTCTACTAATTAATTAATTGATTAATTAAAAATTTTTGGAGCATAAAGACATTATGCCTGTTGTTCTGGAGTCTGTAATGTTTGCCCATTTCTGTGGTGTAAACACTCCCATCACATCAGGTTGCAAGGTACTAACACAGCATTACTGAACATGGAATTAAGATGTGCAGAGGCCGGGCTCAGTGGCTCAGACTAT